TGCATTCATAAATCTGAAGTTTTGAGTGACAGTACTGCAAGTGGTTAAGACAAATCCAAATTCTATAATATTTTATTACCATAAAAATAATCCACTAATTTACACTTTTTTTATTCAGTGAAATAATTTAGATTTCAATAGAGCTTGAGTGGGGAAAAAAATAAGAGACTTATCAAACAGCTCTGTGCAGGGGCAAAGGGAAGGAATTTTAACAGGGCTCAGGACCAGGGGTGTACAGCTATGGGACGGGAGCGATACAGTATCAAAAATATTTCTAACAAAAGGCAATGAATCAAAGAACTACCAGCTATTAAATCTTGCAGACCTTTTTCACTTGAAAACCCTCCCAAAAAGACATTAACAAATAAAAAAATATGTATGTGAATCTTTGTGAATCTTCTTTAAAAAAAATTTAAGAAAAAATACATTTTAGACAAATATGGCAATAACCACAGGAAAATATACACGTGAAAACCTCTTAAAGAACTAATAATCTTTTAAAAGATCATTACACTATGTTTTTATGTTTCATACACACTGCAAAAAGCATATTAACTAATTTCAAGATAAGCAAAATCTACCCAAATAGACCCCATAAATGTGAGCCAACTCAATTGGCCTCTCATAAATGAACCACGCATTAATACAATGCATATTCAAACTGTACTACCACCCACTCTAATATCTATAATCAAAGAGGAGTGAGTGCCTTTTAAAATTTCACAGGTGATCAGAGGAATTTAATCGCTATGCATTGCATCCAGTTCCAGGCACGTTAGCTGGTGTTGATTTTAATATCAAAGCCTATTCGCCATCAAGAGCAGTGCTCGAGATCTCATTACCCGGCCATGATAGACGAGAGGCAGAGCGCACCTACCACACGCCTCAGACACCCACCCACCTGCTAACACAAGCCTCTAAGGGACAGTGGATCAGAGCAGAGCTCCTCAACTGGTGGCACTGTGACCTCTTCTAAAAGGGTCATGGACAAAAACAAAAATGCAAATGCAAGCAAAAATGCTACTAAGCATATAATCTTTAAAATGATTGAGTTTATCAACTTAAAAGGAAGACGAAACCATTTCCCATATCGATTGATGTCAAAGGCTGAGAGTCCAATCAAAATGTACAATGATATTTTGACAAATATTTATATAACTTTGTGAAAGCGAGCTAAAAGACATAAGCATGAAACAAGATTTTTGACATGACCTCTTGAAGAAATAAAAACTTTTTTTTTTACCTTCCACCATTCCTATACTACTGATAAAAGACAAAAGTGCCAAATAAATAAATAAATTCAATTAATTAATACATTTATAATTTTTAACAATAAAAACAAGAGAAATAGGCCTTTTGTGTACATAGAAAAAGTCTTAGATCTTTGAGTTCAGGTCATGAAAAATGGGGGCAAAAACAAAAGTGCTGTGTTTATAATTTTGTTCAGTGTAGTTGAAAGAGTTGCTCTTGTTCCTATCATTATCATACCAATAAGTGTAAAGTGATTAATTAATTAGTTAATTCATTCATTATTTTTTTAAATAATTGTTTCTGTGAGTACTTCCGGCATTCCTATGACTATCCTATTAATAAAAGCAAAGTGCCAAATAAATAAATAAATAGTTTTTAAGTGCTTTCAGCATGCCACTATCCTATTGAGAAATTAATAAATTAATGAAAACAATTTTAAATATATATAATTTATTTTTCTATGACAAACAGTTTTGGTACTCGGTTGGGTCACCCAAAGTTATCCAAAGAAAAGACGTCCTGACTTTGATCGTCCTCTCAGGTCAGGATTAATAGTCCTTCTTAATGAGTGCAACTGTTTTTTGATGTTACGTATATGATTAACACCAGGGGCTCAATTTGGCTAGGTGTCACAATTTGCCATGGACTAGTAATGTCTTTGAGGCATGTGGTCACTGCTGATGAGGGGGAGACACATTAAGCCCGTTTCAATAATTAACATAAAAAAGCAAAATAAATTCCAGCCCTACCCTTGACATTCCCTCAGTGAGGTGCAAGATGAGTTGCAAAATGATTTAATTTAAGAAATTACAAAACAGCAGGACTCAGGAGCCCCACAGGTAGCACAGACTGAATCTCTCCCTTGCAACTTTAAAACATAGATGTTGAACAAAGACGGCGTGAAGCTTGAAAGGATAATTCTGTCCTGCACTATGCCTACAATGAGATTTGGTTCCGTGTTCTATTTGGCCTCCTGTGGAGGGGTTTCAAATGGAAGGACAACACCATGTGCCTTTGCAAAAAAAATCTGAATCTTATTTCACACAAGGATCAGCCCTCATCAGCACATCAAAGACTCCTTACTGCATTAGCATTCGACTGAAGTGAGCTTAAACTTCTGCTACACTACACGGACCCATACAAATGATCACCAGCTAATGGCTACAGCTAGACGGCCAAACACATGAAACCGTGCCGAAAAGCCTCAAGCCAATAATTCATAAAACGCTGAATGTTCTGATATAAATCTGGCAATTAGGCAGAATCTCAGACCTTATAGCCAACGAATCCAAAGGAATACGTCTATTTCACTCTATAACACCTCAAAGAATAATATTTCCATCATGTAATGGCGGCTGACACTTATTTTAAAGAAAAGTCAAGGTGAAGTGCCATTTTAACACACTCATCCCAGCACAACTGAGACATTTATTTATGCCATATCAGCATCAAAGGCTATATTTAGAGCAAGCTCCAAAATAATAACATTTAGAATGTGGGTGTGTATAGCGCTCACCATATATATACACACATACACATCTAATTCATTTAAAACTCAATTTTCCCAAATAAGATCAGACAAATCAGTGAATCTTTGTCAGATTTTGCTAACTTCATGAGACAAAAGACAAGCATTGATGGTTTTAAACGATCATAGGTTAATGATAAAGAACTTAAATTTAGATTTAACTGACCATTCTGACTTCTGTAAATTTGTTTGAAAATAACAGATACATTCATTCCATTTGCCACTTTTTGTAAATGTATAAATTCTATATGGGTTTGACAACTGAGACAACTGTAAGTAAGCCATCGTTGTTTGTAATGCCTGTTTGGAAAAAAATGTTATCTTCTTATGATTATTGACTAAATACTTCACCTTAAAGGAAAAACCAGTTACCCTGTTAGAAAAACAATCTACTGGTACATACTCTTGACAACCTGATAATTGCATTTTTGGGGTTAAAATAATTGAATTTACATATTTGTAGAATAAACACTCAAAACCTTCAAATGGAGGAAGTTGAAAAGAGAAGCTGGTCATTCCAAATCTGTGATTTCTAGAATATTGCAGCTTTAAAATAACACTAATTCATTCAAGTCCCCCAAAAAGCCTGGTCGTCCACGTAAGACAAATGCACGAGAAGACAGGATAATGCAGAGACTCTCAACGGGGAATCGGTTCAACACTGCAGCTGGAATTGCTTGCCAGTTCAGCGCTGAACAGGGTAAGGATCTGCCTCGGCACGTTTAAGGCCCTGTCCACACGAACGCAGGTATTTTCAAAACCGCAGCTTTTTCTATGCTGTTTGGCCGTTCGTCCAACCACCAGGTCACTGAAACCGAACATTTTTGAAAACTCCTGCCAGGGTGAAGATTTTCAAAAACTCCGGTTGCAGTGTTATCGTGTAGACAGCAAAACCGGAGTTTTTGGCTTGTGACGTCGGAGCATGTGCTGTTATCTCCGCCTACTGGAAACTTTTTCAGGCTTCTGATTGGCCAACATGGCTTTACAGTTGAGATTGTATCGCCACCTGTTGGCTTGGCATGCTCTTGACAGTGCTTCATAGCATGCTTTTGCGTTTTCATGTGGACGGAGATTTTTTTTTTAAACGGAAGGAGGAAAAACTCTGTTTATAAAAATACCCGTGTACGTGTGGACATGGCCTAAGAGAAGTCAGACTGAAAGCGCACTCTGCAGTGACCAAGCCTCTCATCAGCAGAGAGAATCAAAAGGCTAGGCTCACCTTTGCTGAGGAGCATGTTGTGTGGAGAGAGGAGAACTGGTCCAAAGTTCACTTTAGTGATGAGAGCAAGGGTAAATTTATTTGGGTCGGATGGGAAACATTTTGTTCGGCGTCAAACTGGGGAAAGACTGAACCCCAAGTGCATAAAGAAGTCATAAAGAGAGGTGGAGGAGGAAGTGTCATGGTTTGGGGGATGTTTTCTGCAGCAAGAGTTGGGACTCTTATACAGATACATGGTAAATGCAAATGTTTATCAGAACCTCATTCAGCAACATGCAGTTCCTTCCTTGTAAGCATCTCCCAATCAGCCTGCAATTTTCATGCAAGTCAATGCACCCGTCACACTGCAAAACGGGTAATGCAGTTCATTGAAGATAAGAACACTGAAATAATGAAATTGCCGGCCCAGAGATCTAAACCCAACTGAAAATCTCTGGAAAATCCTTGGCAACAAAGTTATGGCTAAGAAACCCACTACAGTTACTGAACTGTGGAAGAGAGTGGACCAAGATCACACCAGCGCAGTGTGAGAAACTAGTGATGTCCTGCGGCCGCAGATGTGCTGAAGTCATTCAAAGCAGGGGTCTCTACAATTCCTACTGATTTCTGACAGCTGTAACCCTCTAAAATGTTAGTTGTAATCTTCTTTTGTGCTACAGTGGTTAATGTTCTCTAATTCTGATCACTGTGTATTCCACAAAATAAAGGTTTTTGTTGAAATACCTTAGATATTTTGTGAAACATGTTAGTAGAACAGTGGTATACGCACTGCTAATATTCCTTCAAATTTTGAGCGATATTAAAGAAAAAAATAAGTATTTATAGATTGTTCTTTAATTTTGATCTCCACTGTGTGTGTGTGTGTGTGTATATATATATATATATATATGCGCTACACAACACACACTGTGTGTCATCTTTTTATATAACACATCACAATTATGTTGACATGCAGAAAACTACCTAACTGTATATATAACATGATGGTTGAAGCTCACTTACTTTTGAGTTTCTCGGACTGATCCATGCAGAACAATCAGGTGTGATGTTTCAGGCATGTGCTGTCTTGGCTCTTTGCACCCATGTCAATACTTTCACTGTAGCCTGTGCATGTAAAATAAGAATGGCAGGTTAGCATTATTGAGTCTCAGTTCCTACACTGGTCAAATCGATTCCTCCACGTATCTATTTTAATAACTGAGAAATAAATCGAGCCATAGATTCTTCCTTCTAATGAGACTGGTACCAGGTGCCAGAAGGATTCAAGGGCCTTATGTTTTATTTGTAGTGAGCACAACAGTAGGCTACTGCTGCACACCTGACCCTCACAGTAGTAAACAGTAGGATACACCTGCAGAAAAAAGGAAGGAAGGTTCTTGAGGGGATACTGCAGAATCTTTTTCATTTTTTATCTGTTCGGTCATCCTGATTTGCACTACTGTGGCCCGAAGAAAAACCACAAATCTTACTTTAGTTATTTTAGTGAACCATAAGGAAAAATATATATTTAATCACTTAATATATAAAAAGACCAAATTATTTTAAGCTAATTGAAAAAGGCAACATTTTTTCATTTTCTCAACTATATGGACATATTTAAAAAGAATAATAATAAAAATTACAAAAAAAAAGCAACAACAACATTACTAAAATTTTCAGTAAAATGAAAACGGGAAATTTAAAATTAAAAACTAATTGAAAAAAAAACAAAACCTAACAGTATTTCAAAACATCAAATAATAGGCTACTGTTTTAAACGATACGTCACAAATATTTATAGTTTGGAGGAATTACTAGACAAACGCAAACATAAACCACCTCAATGCTACACCTAAATAAAACTATTATGCATTTTTGAATGACAATAATCCATCTAATCCATTTATAACTCAATTTTGCCGGACGAAATCAGACCTCAAAGTGAAATTTTCGTGAGACAATTTAGCAAACACATGTGTACATATCCACAAAAAGACACGCAGCGAAACTATTTGATTAAAGGTTGTAATAAAGATCCTTAAACGATATTTAACTAACCGTTCTGAACTCAGTAAATTGGTCTTAAAACATTGATAATCCAAACATTGACACCACTATGCTCACAACTCACCTAACGGCAGGTGTAATCCTCAAAAAAGTCCCGGATGCAAAACTGCGCGCGTCTGAACCAACAGCTCACATTTGTGGCGTTGATGGTGAAGGGTGTTTTTGAACAAATCTTTTAAGTGGAAGAATCGTTCCCTCCCTTCAATACGCTTAAATTTGGAATGGCGTATATAGCATGCTACTATTTCTGCCATATTAAGACATGCCAGAATTAGTAAGAGTAGCTACTATAGTATGCTAATAGCCTATGTTATGCCAAGTTGAAGTAAACGAACGATTCTTTCACTTAAATTATTTGTTCAAAAACACCGATTCATTCCGAATTCAAAGTAACCATAGCACGAGCAAATAACATTCGACCGCGGGCTGTCAAAGAAGCAGTTCATTGGTAGGATCCACTTAACGAATACCATTCACCAATCCCCATTCACGAAACGATTCGCAGTTATGAGTCTGAACCATAGATCTACGTGTGTAGATCAATGAACGAGACTCTTTGAACGAATCTGTTCGGAGTAAATGAATCGAAGCTTTACTCTCACACATAAAGACTCGCCACCTACCGGCGTAACGCTGCAGCCGAATCTGCAGAAAGAGGACGAATCTGAAATAATCGTTCTACCGAACAGATTGAAAAGATTCAAACCACCGGGACGAATTAAAATCCCCACACTTAGTGCATTATATGTGTCAGCCGTTTTGTAGCTTTTCAATGTTCTTAGTAAACAAATTAATCATCTTATTCCAAATTTGAGGAATAGCAAAGTGTCATATTTTCAGATTAATATGAAATTAAGTGAAACTGCATGTAGTAAAAAGGAAAAAGAAACAGCCATGTTTCTGTCAAAATTAATGATTAATCATTAATTACAATAAAAATTATTCCTTTTTGTACAATTTATTTAATGCTCTACTACTACTACTACTACTACTAATAATAATAATAATAATAATAATAATAATAATAATAAAAGTGTTACATTTTTATCATTAACTACAATAAAAAAAATGTAGGCCTAAGTTTTGTATATAATGTTGAGATGATGTTTGGTCAATGTAATAATAATAATAATAATAATAACTAGCAAAATAATAATCTTATGTATAGTTCTAAATATCAGAAATAACAGTGGTACATTTTGAGAATAATTCAACTCTCTCTCTCTTTAATTATTTATATTTTTTATTTTATTATTATAATTTTTTTTTTTTTTTTTTGCACGTGTATGAACTTGCCGGCCTGTTAAACTGTTAATGAGCAGTTGTGGGCAGGTTTAATCTCTGAGAGCACGAGTACCACACGACAGACCCCCGGAGGCCGATCCGTGTGTATCGATTAACCTGCTCGGTCGATGTGGAGGAGACGATTAACCTCTAAGGACATTTTATAGTCTGCTTCCCCGCATTGCCAAACGCAACACACCCCTCTTTCATTCTGCTCTCCATTTGCACTGCGATAATACCAAAATCCTGCTCTGTGCCCCACTCCACAACTCTGAGCCACGAAAATGACCCCATCTTTCCAGCACAGGTTGATCGATACACCGCATATCTCACCGCGCAGACTCCAGCACATCTTCATTCCGCAGAGGCCTGACAAAACTTCTCAATTCTGACCCGCATAGCGCAAACAAGTCTCCTTCTAAGGGTTCATAGAGGGCCAGCGGTGAAGAGACTGCAAATAGGTTATCATGCTCAGAATAAAGCTCACTGCTGGGTGTGTTTGGCAGGGAATGCTCCTGAAAATATTCCTTAATGGCAGAAAAGAATCATAGTTGAATAGCTGAAAGGAGGAATGTTGAAAGCAATCTCCAGGGAGAAAATATGCCCACTAACACCGGCATCGATCACATTGAAGATGACACAGCAGCAAGAAAATGAGACAAAACTCAATTCCAACAGCTCATATTCCATTTTTCTCCCTTGCAGCTGAGGACTAAAAGGGCAATTACCTAGCACTTCAGAAATGCCTCTTTCTTTGCAAGAAGATAAAGTGAGATGTACCCAGGGCTTGTTGTTTTATTCTGTGGGGATTTGTCATATCTGAGATATTTAGCCATTTTTTCAACTGTCAACTCATCCTCTCACTCAGCTCCATCATTCTGTGGCAACATTCAGCAGGACAGTATGTGTGCGCGCACCTGGAACAACACTCAGTTTGATGGGCTATTTTGGTGCAGACTTCAGCTTCACAGCGGATCTCTCACCTCACCGAATTTAGTATTCCGGCGTAAATCTGCAAAAAAAAAAAGGACAGTGAAAGTGCAAATGGCAGTCTTGCGTGTTTTCGAGTGGGAGTAGAATGGCAGAGCGAGGGGTAGGTCACACCAGAGGTTAGTGCTGAATTACAGACTGTCACTGCTTGGACAGGGAGCGCAGACGCAGGGGACAGGCTGACAGAGCCGGTGTCCAGACGAAGAACAAGCCGCAGTCAGACCGGACGGCCAAGTGTTCTTTCTATAAAACAGTATTGGACTTTAGCTTTCCTCCTGTCAGTGCATAAGACACAAGACAGCTTTAAATAAACTGCACTTGCTATAGATACCAAATTTAGTCAGAGCATATTTAGACTGCTAGATCTCGAATTCATCTTCACATCTGTGAGACAGAGATTCAGGCCATCATATCGGCATTTACTGTTTCTCACAATTTAACTAATTTAAACAGTATATATTTTAAATGTGAAGTTCAAAACAGTTCACTAATGGTCTGATGAGTCATGTTAAACGTAAAAAAAAAAAAAAAAAAAGTATAACATTGGCCTTGATACTGGTTATCAGCAAGAACAAACAATTATTCGATTTTGATATTAATAATAATAATTATTATTATTTAATTCATTATGAATATTGTTGTTGTTGTTATTATTATCTAATAATTTAATATTTAATAAAAGTAATATTATAAAATAAGAAATAAAAAATTATAATACTTGTATGTAATGGCCAATATTTTAAAATATATGCTGCAAATGAAAGTCACAAACTGTTCCAAATTAATTAATTGATTAATAATAATAATAATATTAATACTACTACTAATACTAATAATAATATTTATTTGGAAAAGTGCGTGGCTTTAATTTGCAGAAATACTGGGGAGTTTTTATTTTGTATTATTGGATATATAATATAATATAATAAATAATATATTAGTGATTGCCTTTCCTTTGGGGGGGGGGGATTTTATGAGTATTTCTTTTGCATGGTTGGCCTAATTAAAAAAAATACAATTCGAAAATAATAATATAATGAAATAACAGCGACTGCCTTTCATTTGCAGGAATACTAAATGATTTATAGAATTTCTTTTCAAGGTGACCTGCTTTCTTTGTGTTAATATGGTAATTCATTAAAAGTCTGATTAAAGCTCTATTCATAGCCCCCTGATAACAGCCTCATAGCATAGAGATGAAGGGAGAACTGAAAGACAGCATTGTATTAGCCTACCTCAGAGGGTCATCTGTGTGTCCCTTGGTGTTAACGTTTGAAGAAACTTAAAAGGTGAAAATGACGCTCTTCAACTTCAACTTCACACTTTTCCCCCAGGAGTCTTTTTTTTTCCAGCAGGCCCTGTGCCGCTTTAGACACCTCTGGACCCTGACTCCAAATGCTTTCAAAAGTCCCACTTTCATCATAGATCCTCACATATCTAACACGTCTGAGAACTACTTCCTGCTCTCATTTGCCCACAAGGACCTGCATCCTGTAGGACTGTTCAGTTCAATAAACAATTCAGCAAGATAAACTAAGAAATGATAGTATGCCTAACTGAAATGACCTGTACATTTTAAGCTGATCGTAATAAAGCCCATTACAGTGATCTGATGTGTTCCTAATACTTCTTAGCAAGAGGACATGCATAAGGAGTCATGTCATTACACGGGAACTTTTGTTTTTCCGATGA